GGGGCTGTGAAATGGTGGCCTGTGTCATGCCGGCTTGGCAGCTAACTCCTGGCACAGAGATGTCCCTGCCTACTGGGGCTGTGACCTGAGGTGGGCTCAGGAGGGTGAAGGAGATCTTTCTGTGAACCAGAACCCCTCATTTCCTGCACGCCAACTCTGTGTCCAGCTCCATGCAGCATGTTTCCTGCAATTCTTCCCTCCCCCACCACAGAGGAGGAATGGAACATTAGAACTGCTCCTTCAGTCATTAGGGGGTGTAGCAAGGATTCCACCTGGGGCTGCCTCCCTCGGTGGACATTTTTATGAGCCCTCTATTTATCCTGGGCAGCAGTCTATTCTTCTCTGTATTATCTCTTCTAGAAGAGAGAAGCAGGGGGAATACTCAATAAAAATCCTCAATAAAATATTAGCAAATCAAATCTAGCAATGTATAAAAGGAATTTATGCACCACAGCTTGGTGAGAAAGTTTTCCCTTGGAATGCAAGGTTGGTTTAACAGAATGGATTCAGATAAGTTAACACATGGGCAGACACAAGAAGGCCATTCTCTGCCCTCTAGGGTCTGGTCTGGAGATTTCTTCCCTCGGCCCTGTTCTTTCATCTGTAAAGCCTTGGCACTCTCCCTCTGATGACCTGAGTGACATACTGTCTTCGTGTGATTAGATCTTTTGCCTTTTCCTTTCTCTTTCTGTGTCTTCAATGTTGTTCCACTGAGATTTCAGTCACTCAAAAAAGCAAGACTGTGGGCTGTGTTCACACCACCTGGGCCCAATTCTGTCTGTCCCTTACTCTATAAATGGGATTAATTATGCCAGCTGTTCAGGTTGAATGTATAACTGTATTGCGAATGAAGCCCTTAGAATAGTTTGAGACATTTGGTAAGCACATGGTAAGTGTTAATAGTGAGTGGGGTATGGGCTTTGGTGTCAGAGGCCCAATACAAGCTTAACTCAGTCATTTATTGTTTGTATGCATTGGCTCTACTCAGCCTTCTGAACTCCATTTGGAAGAAACCTAGGAAGCCTAGCCTTCCCTTGTAACAGTGAGGTGACAGCTCCCCCTCTTTCCCCTCTGGTTCCACACTCCTTCAATTGATTCTGCTTTGTTCTGGGACACATCTTCTCATGTCTCAGGAATCAGCTAGCACCTGCCCAGGGTGGGTCCAGGATCATTTACTCACCTTTCCTCAGCACCTGGCATGCAGCAACATCTGGTGAATATTTATTGAATGAATAAATACATGGTTAAAGATATAAACCCTGTCCAGATCCTTGGCTATAACAGTGATAAAGACTCTCAGTTGCAGATGGTCACATGAAAATAAAAAATACCCAATGGAAAATAATAAACAATAAACCTCCTGGGTCAAAGGTATGCATGGAAAACAAGAAAGACTATTCCCCTATCTGCATAGGAAAAGATTAAAGGAATGACACAGTCAGTGCTGCCCAGTATCTGGTGAGAGAGCTCTTATGTACACTCAGGTATTGGTGGGGATGTTGGAGACCTGTGCCTTTTAGGAAAACAATATTCCTGTCAGGACTCTTGCATAACCAATAGGAGCTTCTAAGTGTTTTCCTAAAAACCTACCTGAAGAAAATAATTATACGTGGGCAAAACTTAGGAACAAAAGTGTCTGCAGTGACATATTAAAGAAAATGGCCTATTACTGCCTATTAGTGTCTAACATTAGAAATTATGATTAGAATTAATTGTTCTAGTGACAGATATAGTTCTAGGTGACCGATAATGAGTTCAATAACATTGAAATTCAGGAGGGATTTTGTCAGGCTAGACCTTGTTCAAGAGATAATGTTAAGAGAAAACAGGTCTTAAGCATGGAAGGAGTGGCCATGGATGAGGAGAATGGACGCTCACCCTGGGTTTGAATCCCAGCACTCCTACCAACATTGGAGGAACAGACATCTCTACATGCTGTAGCTTTTCACCTATAAAGTAGGGGAGATCTTGATGTAGCATAGTGTCAGAACCTGAGAATTCAATAGGATTGAAAATGGGGATAAACTTAGAGCAGACACTTAGTACGCCATTCTGTTGCTAACTGGCAGTTAGGTAATCTTTACTGTTGGTAAAGAACTTATCACCACTATGTCCAAATAGAATGGAGAAAGGATTATTTCTGTCCAGTCCTGAGACCAGGCCAGTAATCCAGATTCTTAGTAGCTTCCTAAGTAGCTTCTTAATTTCCAACATGCATTTAGCTCGTTCCTTTTTATTTCCCATGTGTGTCTGGTGGAGTGCATTGTCCCAGAGGCTGGTTTGTCCGTGTGTGTCATCAGGCTCAGTCCTGGGAATATTGTTCTTCACTGCTAATCCCGGATTTGGGAGGTTCTTTTCAGATTCACAGGAATGGAAATCTGAAATGATAACACTTGAATTATCAACCTTCTCTCTTCTAGTCTCATTTTCTTTCCCTCAGAAAGAAGCATTAACTGAGGACCTGCTCTGGTCTGTGTTTTATACTTGTCACTGAGGCTATAGAAACCAGTAGGCCTCAGTTCTTGCCATTGGAAAGCCCTGTGGCACTGGGGCAAACAGACCCATGGGGCAGATCAATGTAGTATGATACACTACATGCTGTGACCAGGCCCAGTGCCAGCCCCCATGGGAATAAATCAATTCTTAAACCTCAATTAAGGATACCTCTAGCTTCAGTCAGCCAAAGAGGACATGAAGAATAGCTCCTTTCCCAAGTGCCTGCATCCTTGCAGAGGGAACAGGCATGGAGGAGGAGGTGCCATCCTGCAAGCAGAATTCAGAGGACCAATTATCCCCGCGTGGTGTGTGGGAAGGTAAAGGTCAGGAACAGACTGTGTTAGTTATTGGTGTGCAGCTCAGCATGAGGGCAATCCGTTTGGTAAAGTGCATCTGAAATCTGGTATTGTAAGAGCTGTGCAGTTTACTGGCATGTGGTAAATGTAGAGAACATGAAGAATGTGAGGTCTTGAGGCTCTGGCCTGTGGAACGCAGAGTTCCACAAGTTCCTCTCAGGGCTGAGGGGTTGTAGGTAGAGCAAGGACATCCAGATGCCATGCAGACAGAGTGGCTCTTCTTAGAGACGTGCCTGCTAGTTACAGGGCACCCTTCCCCAGAGCCACAATGGCTAGAAGTATGGCTGGGGTAAGATCCTTCCCATGCAAAAGTTAGTTATTGATGATCTGTAAAATGGGGACCATCAAGGAGTTGTAAGAATTGACAGGCTCTATCATGCAGAGACCAAGATAGGGAATGGCATCCCAGAACAAGGGATGCAGTCTGGAGAAGATGGGATGAGAGAATTTTCCTGGAAATCACTGGAAATTCTATGTTACAAGAGGACAGAGGCTGTCTGAGGTCTAATAGACATGGTAGCCAATGAAACTCAGGAGGGTTTCTTGCTTTTCAATGCATATGCAGCTTGTACATGCATGCGTGTGTGTGCGTGTGTGTGTGTGTGTGTGTGTGTGTGTGTGTGTGTATGCATGTCTGCATGTGGAGGGGTGGGAGGGAGGGAGCAAGGAGCGTGGCCAGGGCAAGTGAACTGGGCAGAGGCTGGTTCGCCTGTGTTTGTCATCAGGTTCATCATCTGTCATCAGTTCATCACCTGTCATCAGTTCTGCTGATGCTGTCCTTCATTGGGAATCCAGGATTTTGGAGGTTTCCTTCCAATTCACAGGGACAGAAATGTCAACAGAATTCTGAAAAATGTAAAGAAAAAGAGGAAAACATCCATATGCACACACACACCTGCATATACATATATACCTACATGTGTACACACAACCTGCACACGCTCACACCTGCATGCACACACACACATACACCTGCACACATTCTTATATCTTCTCGTTCCCCTTCCATCTCGTTTTTGTTTGCATTTCACCTCTCAGCTCCAGTCCAGGGTGTTGTTGTTGGTGTGTGGCTCCTGTTGTAGTGGATGTCTCAATTCATGGGATGTGTTTTTCTTTTTAAAATACTGAGCATGTATGATTCTTTCAACTTATTCTCTCATGGTCTTCTTACTGTGTTTTGTTCATTAAAATGTAAAAATCCAGGATTCTCCCATAGTTGAAGAAGAGAGGCACACATGTTTTATTGCCTTTGAGACACCCCTGTCCCATCACAACTATTCAGGCTTTGGGACCCATGAGAAGTTTTTTATGTTCCCCTCACTCCCTGGAGATACTGGTTGAGTATCCATACCGCAGGCAGGGCTCTAATCCCTGCCCACTGGTTTGCTTGGCATCAGTCCCTGAGGATCTGGTGGAGACTGGGGCAGACAAGGAGGCAAATGGATAGAGTGGCACCCACAGCTAACAAGGTGGGAGCTCAGGGATCACCGGAGGTCGTCAAGCATGGCGCCTCATCTGGCCAGGGAGGAAGGTGCCAGGGAAAGCCTGGGGGAGTGGAATCTGGGCTGAGTATCCTCAAGGCTTTTGGAGCAAATGTGGGATCTCAGAGAGGAGGGGCTTCAAGAGACCTGGCTTCAGGGAGAAATTGCTGGAAAGCTCACAGCTACGCAGTGCAGCCACTGGGTGAATGGGGAGAGGGATGAGGTCAGGAGCAGGAGGTCCTGCTCTGTGGCAGCTCTTTGAGTCATGTTTGTAGGGGTGGAAAGAGTGCATTACTGAGGGGTTCCAGGCAGGGCGATGTGCAGTCCCTAGCACTATGCTGTTCTTCTCTGTAGGCCTGGTAGGGCCTCTGCCTTTCTTTGCAGGTTGGGTGGATGGGAAGACAGATGGGTGAACCATTTGAGGGAAGACTCTGGCTTTGGTCATTGAACGTCTCACAGATGAAGCAGAGGAGGGAAGAGGGGCTGCAAGGCCTCCAGACACGAGGATTCTGCTGGGCCCACCCACAGTACTTCCCAAGGCCAGGGTAGGCGGGATTCTGCGCGGCCTCTTATGGCCCTTCAGCTCCAGGGCACTTCCTAAGGGTGTTTCTTTCTCCACACAGGAAATGTTCTACTAGACACTGACACGTCTCTTCCTGGCCAAGGAATGCTTGTCCTCAAGAGCAAGAGAGCCGTGCCCCGCCCCCGAGGGAGCGCGGTGCCCTGGCTTCTGTGGGCGTGGCTGCTGTGGAGTGGCGATGCGGGCTGCCAGGCCCAGCGTGCAGGTGGGGCACTGTGGGGTGGGCACATCAGTGTGCGCCTGTCGGGGTGGGTGGGGGTGTGGGACTGTGAGAGAGATCACAGTTAGGCTGTGGGTGTCAGCAGTCCATGTGTGTGCAAGGGCCAGTGCTATTGATCTAGGAGAGCATGTGAGAAAGGAGGGACAGTGGGAGAGTGTGTAAGGATGCATGTCTAAGAATGTGTGAATACATGTGGTGTGTGAGAATGTGTGAGTCCGTGAGTGTGCTACTAAGAGTATGAATGCAGATATGGGTGTGTAAGGATGTGTGTGAATATGTGATTGTGTGTTACCTGTGTATCACTAGAGAGTATAAGATGGTGTGAATACATGCTCTATGTAAGAATGTGAGGGTGAATGTGTGTGATAGTCTATGAGTGTGTTACTGGGGAGTAAGAATGTGTGAATATGTGTGGGTGTGCAAGAATGTAAGAGCGTGTGTACTGGGGCAGTGTAAGAGTGAGTTCATGTGTGGGGGTGTGTAAGAGTGCAGGAGTGAATATCTGAGTGTGCTTGTGTGTGTCACTGTGGGAGTGTGGTCTGAGGGTGCGTGTGTGTGATGGTGAGGGACCGGTGTGAGGGAGGGCGAGAGGAGAATGCTCGGCCTGCAGCGTCTCCATCCCGGTCTGGCCGCGCCTGACCCCCGTGTGGGCGCGGACACGAGCGGGTCCCGGCTCAGGCCCGGCCGCCAGCCCCGCCTCGCCCTCCCTCCGTCCCCCGCAGGCTGCAAGAGCGTCCACTATGACCTGGTGTTCCTGCTGGACACGTCCTCCAGCGTGGGCAAGGAGGACTTCGAGAAGGTGCGGCAGTGGGTGGCCAACCTGGTGGACACCTTCGAGGTGGGCCCGGGCCGCACGCGCGTGGGGGTGGTGCGCTACAGCGACCGGCCGAGCACGGCCTTCGAGCTGGGCCTCCTGGGCTCGCGGGAGGCGGTCAAGGCGGCCGCCCGGCGCCTGGCCTACTACGGCGGCCACACCAACACGGGCGACGCGCTGCGCTTCGTCACCGGCCACAGCTTCTCGGCGCGCGCCGGCGGCCGGCCCGGGGACCCCGCCGTCAAGCAGGTGGCCGTCCTGCTGACCGATGGCCGCAGCCAGGACCTGGTGCTGGACGCCGCTGCCGCCGCGCACACCGCGGGCATCCGCATCTTCGCGGTGGGCGTGGGCGCCGCGCTCCGGGAGGAGCTGCACGAGATCGCCTCCGAGCCCAAGGCCGCGCACGTCTTCCATGTGTCCGACTTCGACGCCATCGACAAGATCCGGGGCAAGCTGCGCCGGCGCCTGTGCGAGAGTGAGTGCTCCCAGCGGCGCGACCCAGAGGGATGGATAGATGAAGGGATGGGTGGATGGAGGCATGGAGGGATGGGTGGATGGAGGGATGGAGAGATGGATAGATGAAGGGATGGAGGGATGGATGGATGGAGGGAAGGATGGATGGATAGATGGATGGGTGGAGGGAGGGAGGGATGGGTGGATGGATGGATGAATAGAGGGAGGAGGGTGGGAGGGATGGGTGAATGGATGGATGGGGGGAATAGCTGGATGGATGGAGGGATGGGTGGATGGGTGGATGCATAGATGGAGGGAAGGATAGTGGATGGATGGATGGAGGGAGGGATGGGTGCAGGGATGGATGGAGGGAGGGAGGGATGGAGGGAGGGATGGATGGAGGGAGGGAGATGTTAGACAGATTGATAGATGATAGAAACATGATGGATTGATGATACAATATGGGTAGATGGTAGATTTAGAGGTGATAGATATATGACAGATGATTGATAGATGATAAATTGATAGATGACTGATGGAGGATAGATAATTTATATATGGTAGATGATTGATAGACAGATGTGTATATATTTTTGTTTTGCTTTGTTTTTGTGCCACTACTAGGGCTCGAACTTAGGGTCTGAGTCCTCTAATGCTTGCGTCACAGCTCCACTTCAGATAGCTATGAGTGTCTTGGACTTTCCTGCCTGGGTTGGCTTTGAACTGTGATCCTCTGATCCTAGCATCCTGAGTAGCTAGGATGATAGGCACACAACTTGTTTTAAAATGATCTGTCTGGCCTCTCCCTCCAGGGCAGAGGTCAAGGACAGAAATGGAAGGGCTTTGGGGATTTAGAGTTGGCTCAAATCCTCCCACACCTATGATACTGTTGAAAGCTGAAGGTCTGGGAGGCTCGTGCTAGTGTGGGCTGTAGACTGTGCAGAACTACTGAGGGTATGAGAAATCATGCAGAAAAAATAGTCTCAAGCATGTTAGTGGAGAGTGCCATGCATCCTACGTCAGCCCCTTGGAGATGGTCAGGGGCTGTGTATTTTAGGGGCTGAGAGTTGACTATTCTTGGAGATGGCCAGAGTAAGATCTCTAATTGTTTGTCTGGGACCTGTTCATTGCGGTTGGGGCTGGGGGCAGGGTGGGAGTCTTGGGTAACTGGCCCACAGAGAGCTGGCAGCCCTTCTATGCTGATGTGGAAATCTGACCTCCAGTCATTTGATGCTACGTGCTTTCTGAAGGTAGGACTATGGAGTTTCTTTCCCAAGACCCAGCCTGTCTCCCCTGTCTGCCTCTGCCTGCTTCATTCAGGTGGCATTTGTCCCTGGCTCCCAGTAAGAGCTGGGTGGCTGTCCTCTCTGGGACCAGCAGCCACTGTGCTTTGAGGCTGCTGGTGGGCTAAGAGCAGAGCCACAGCCTGTCTTACTGACTGGTAGGTGTTTAAGCGAACTCTGGCTGGGAATCCCAGTGGGTTCCACCGTGGCTGGGGGGGTTGGGAAGGCCTCTGGGGCTGGGGCAGTGTTGGGAGGGGCTGTCCATGCTGTCCATGTAGGCTACTGGGTGTGGCTGTGCAGAAATGTGCCTGGCCTGCAGCCCAGGGAAGAAATAGCTAGACCATTCCAGAAACTGGAATGGCACTAGGTTTCCTTGCCCCACTGTGACTCCCTGTAGTGCTTACTTAACACACTTAGGGATTCATTCATTATTTGTCTTTGGGGGTATCTATAGCAGTGTGGCCTTGTACTGATTTCTTGAGCCACAGAAAACAATGAGATACAGCCTTTGTCCTCCAGGGGTTCCTAGTCTTAGAGCTGGGAAAGGCACAGGATGTGTGCCAGAGACACAAAGGGTCAGGTCTCACGGTAGGTCCTTGTATGGTGGCCTTCGTGGGGGGAGCTCCCTGGAGGAGGTGGACCCAGGCCACTCCTGAGCCGCATAGGTCCGAGAAGGAAGAGGCAGTGTGGCATTATCCAGGGAGGCTGGCATGGTCAATATGGCTGGGTTGCCAGAGGGAAGTGGAGGGTTGTTGGGCCTTGCCTGATGGTCAGAGATTTGCTACAGAAGGTTAGGACATCATCAGGTTTTACTCATGGGTCTGGCCTGTCAGATCTGCAGAAAGCAGGGAAAGGGTGTGTTGTCCATTGACGTTCAGAGAGCTATGCTTTGGGAGAGATCACTGAAGAGAACGGTGAGGGCACAAGTACTCAAAGGGCCGTGTGAAGCCAGCCTGTCCTCTGGGGTGCAGCCAAAGGCCTTGGCTGTGGACGTAACATCTGTGGCCTCACTTGATCCTTGTTGACCACCTCTGTCATCTCCTCTTATCCATCTGAGCCCTTGGGTTGCTGGGAAGGGGAAAGGACCCCAAGGAGCCAGCCTGGGCAGGACTGGGCTAAAGGGTTGTCTTAGGGAAACACTCACCAGAAATCTGGGCCGAGGAGAGCCAGACACCGCATCTTAGCTTCATCTAAGAAGTCCAGTGTGGAAAGTCAGGGCGAAGAACACAAGATGTCATCCCAAACACCTTGCTCCAGGGGTCTAGGCAGCAAGAGACTCCTGGACTCAGCCACTGGTACTTCTCATCCCGTTCCATTAGGGTCAAATGTAGACTTGGCAGCACTCTGTGCCCAGGATGTACTTCTGTGGTGGACGAGAAAATCTCAGGGAGGTTGGTCCCTGGGATGGGACAGTAGGACTGAGAGCAGGGTCCAGCTTCCTGCTCTCTAGAGGCTGTCCTCCTCCTCTGTCTGTTGAAGACTGGGGTCATCTTACTGATCTTGGTTGTGAATCAGGGACAGTCCTTCAGGGCATAAGTGGCAGAGAAACCCACTCTAAGTGGCCTAAAGAAAGAAGCAAGTTTATTTTCCCAAAGGGGTAAGAAGGTCAGAGGTCAGCCATTCTCAGGATGATATCAGATCTTGTCCTTCTCTTTCCCTTCCTAAGTTCCTGTCTGGGAAAATTGCAACAGGCTCTAGCAATCAATGGATTTAACCAAAGAGGTAGCGGGGAAGGGTGGGATGGACAGATGACCTGAATGAATACGTGAATGGTGAATGAATGGATAAATGAATGTCCCAAGTGATCGAATTGTTGGAGGACTCAGCTACCTCCTGGATGATAATGAAAGTGAAGGAAGTCCTGTCTCCTCTCACTTTGCTTAGTTGTTCACTGGGAGAAATAAGAGGAGGTCTCAAGCTGAGTAGAAGTGAGGGTTCTGCTGTCTGCAGTGTGTCTTCAGCATGTTGTCTTGCTCCATTCTCTCACCTGTGGCTGCTGATAAAGTGTCCACAGTGACATTTACACTCGAGAACGTGGCTGCTCTAGACCCACCCTAGCCAACATGGGGGCTCCTGAGCATTGGGGATACAGGACTGGTCCACTCTGAAAACTGCTGTAAGCCTAACGCTCTCACTGAATCCTGTAGATTTACTGTGAGAAATAAACTAATAGATCTCAGCAGTGTTCTTCAATGGCACTTTAAATGGTAATATTTTGGAAAACTCTTGCTCAGATAGTAGAACCAATTCATCTTGCTCTTTTTTATTTTTATGTATTTTTTTTGGTTGGTCATGGGCCTTGAACTCAGGGCTTGAGTGCTGTCCCTCAGCTCTTCAGCTCAAGGCGAGCACTCTACCACTTGAGCTACAGTGCCACATCTGGTTTTCTGGTAGTTTATTGGAGATAAGAGTTTCATGGACTTTCCTGCCTGGGCTGGCTTTGAACCTTAGATCTCAGAGGATTGTAGGCATGAGCCACCGGCGCCCGGCATTTATTTATTTATTTATTTTTATATACATTTTTTATTGTGAAAATACCGTACAGAGGGGTTACAATTACATGGGCAAGGTAATGAGTACATTTCTTATCAAGCATTGTTGCCTCCTCCTTTGTTTCCCCTTCCCATCCCTTCCCATTTCCCCCTCAGCCCGTCCCCCTCCCCCTGCCCCGTGCCAAAGTTGTAAAGTTTGTTTTTCCACATAACGTCTTGTACATCTCATTGTTGCAATGGGTCCACCTGTATCCCTATTTAAACAATTTGTTTTTGCCCTTTCCCTCCACAAAGTATACCAACATCAAATACAGTGAAAACAGGGGTTATACCGTGGGGGAGGGACATACAAAGCAACACAGAAATCATCTTTATATATATGTTAGAAACAATCGCAAAAAAGAAAAAAACAGTTGAATCCTTATCTTGGGGTTCTGGAACCAACCCAGATGCCCCACAGTAGATGAATGGATCAAGAAAATGTGGTATATATACACAATGGAATTCTATGCCTCCATCAGAAAGAATGACATTGCCCCACTTGTTTAGGAAATGGAAAGACTTGGAAAAAATTATATTAAGTGAAGTAAGCCAGGCCCAAAGAAACATAGGTCCCATGCTTTCCCTTATTTGCAATAACTAGTATGTGTCTGAGACAAGCAGAAGCGGTCAGATAAGTTGATGTTAGGCGAAATGAACCCCAAGATAAGGATTCATCTTGCTGTTTTGAATCTTTAATGTGCCTGTTAGCAAACAACATTACATAGATGGTTCACATTTTCTTTGGGATGTTACTATTGGAGGTAACATGATACTGTGAATGTGTTTGGCAACTTGGGTAATGGGATGGGTGGTATAAAGAAGCAATGGCTGTGGAATCTTCAATTTGGGACCTTTAGATTTACAGATAAATATCAGATCTCTCCCTTCACCATCCTCCACATACCCCAGAGCTAGGAATAATATCTGCAGTGCTACTTAGGTATGTGCTTAAAGCATGTGATGTCATGATTGCTACCTTATCCCTCTTCCTCCTTCCTAGCTTTCTTCCCCTCTTCCTTCTCCCTCTTCTTCCTTCCTCTTTCTTTCTCCCCTCTCCTTTCCCTTCTGGAGATGTTGAAGATAAGTCTGGTTGTTTCCAAAGTCCCATGATCTCCCTTTCTATCCAGCTTTGTCACGAAAGGGAGAAAAGGGCACCTCTGAGTGTCAGGCCTGCCCCCGGTGCTCTGACATAGTGTCCCCTTGGT